GGCAGTGAGCTTGTCCGTGCCAGAGGCACGAACGTGAGCAAGGCAGCCCCAGACGTGGAACGCAGACGCGTCACCGGGGGACCCGGTCCAAAGGAGGGTCGGCGAAACCTGCGGCCGCTGGGAGCGTGGCCACAGGTTAAGCTGGTGAGCCGCGTAGCGAACAGCGAACGGCCACAGAAAATGGGGGGCATCGGCATGGATCATGGAGGTACGGGCGACCTCCATGACCAAGCCGATGTGGCGCTCAGCAACCCCATTCTGCTGTGGCGAGTCCGGCAACGTGTACGACTGGGTGATGCCCTCCGCACGACAGAACTGTCCAAGCCGACCAGAGGCGAACTCGCCGCCACGGTCGGAGTGGAGACACAACACGGGGAGACCGCGGTGGAGACGCGCAGCCACAACCCACGGGAGAAGAACATCGGGCACGTCGGCCTTCCGCTCCAGGGGAAACACCGTGGTGTAGCGCGTGTAGTCGTCGACAAGCACAAGGAAGTAGCGCTCACCGCGCGGTCCGGGGACGGGGGCAGGGCCCCAAACGTCCAAGTGCAGGGTCTGAAGGGGGGCAGTAGCAGGACGCAGCGAGGAGGAGTGAGGAGCACGGCAGAGCCGACCCTCGACGCAAGGCGTGCACGGTGGCGCAGTCGAGGGAGGAAGGGCAGGGAGCGACGCGGGGAGACCTAAGACAAGACCGTGCTGGGACATGTGACGCAGACGCGGGAGAGCAGGGTGACCTAAGCGGTGGTGCCAGAGAAGGGAGGGGTGAGTGAGGGACCGACACGAGCAAGCTGCAGCGACCTGGGAGGACGCACCAACCGGGGGGGAAGCGGTGTGTAGGGTAAACAGACCGGACACCGGGTCCCGGGGGAACGTCGCAAGGGGGGAACCTGAGACAGCCTCAGAACAGACAGCGAACCGCTCGTGCCCGGGGAACGTGGTGGTGACGCCGAGGTCCTGGAGACAGCCGACACCAACCAGGTTCCTGGAGAACGAGGGAACGTGGAGGCCAGTAAGGGAGCCCGAGGGAACTGCCGGACAGGGAAGGGACGTAGAACTGCGCGCGACGACCGGACCCGCAGAGGGGTCAGCGAGAGAGACAACAGCAGGTGCAGCAAGCGGCGTGAGCGTGGAACGGTCGCGGAAGAAGCAGGCAGAAGCACCAGAGTCGAGAGTGAAGGACAGCGACGCAGTGGCGAGGGCCGGGGACGGTGCCGGTGCAGCGACTAGACTAGGCAACCTAGGCAGTCCTACGCCTGTCGCAGCAGGGGAAGCTAAGCTACACAAGGGTGAAACACCTAAACTAGAGTACACAGGGTAGTAAGATCCAGCAACACTAGAAGCGTCAGCATACAAAGCATGCAAAGCAGCACCTATCTGATCCATGTCTAACTCAAAGATCGGCACGCCCTGGCGGAGCAGGCTGTGCCAGTCAGGGAGGTCCGGGGCCGGGCCAAAGCGACGACGAAAAAGATCGTCGAGGCGGCGGAAACAGCGGGCGGTCGGGTGCGGGCGGCGGCACAGAGTGCCGCGGAGAGGCCCGGTCTGAAGATGGTACTGGCAGGTCACAGCACTGGAGCCGCTGGTAGACGCCAAGCTGCGCGGGCCGCCACCACGGCCACCGCCTCCGGAGGTGCCGGGCCAACCAGGCGGGAGACGAGCCCACGGCTGCGGCGGGTGCTGCTGGGACGGCGGCTGCGGCTGGGGCTGGTCCTGCTGCTGCTGGGACTGCTGCTCCTGCCCACCGGTGGTAGTCCCCTCAGGCGGACTACCGTCACCACCACCACGACCACTACCACCTGCGTCACCACCCCTACCTCCCTGGCGGCCACGGCCACCGCGACGCGAGCGCTGCTGCGGGTGGACAGCAGCAGCCGTCTCGGTAAGAGGGGTCGCCGTGGCGACCGCAGCCGAAACGTCAGTGAACGTGCACGGGGATGGGGCACAGCCGTGAAAGATAGAGACTGGCGGCGCACCGCTCGACTGAGCGATAGTGCGCTGGCGAGTCTCGATCTCAGTGAGGGTGTCGACAAAGGCGGTCAGGGTGAGGTCACCCGGGTGCTGGCTAAGAAAGTGGTCGCGAGCACTAGCGAGGCGGTCTGGCAGGCGCATAGCGATAAAATAGAGCGTCATGCAGAAAGGAGGGGGGAGCGCAGTGAGCTGGGCAGCAGTGCTGGCAGTGCGATAGCGAGTCTCTAGGGCACGCAAATGAGTGGCAAAATCTGCGACAGTAGGGAAGGCAGCCAGGTCTGGGAACAGCATCGGAAAGAGCAAGCGGCCAGCAGAAGCGGAGGCAGGGGTGGAATAGCGAGCAATAACGGCGTCTAAATAAGCTTTGGCCGTTTCAACAGTAGCAAAACGCGAGCGCTCAGACACAGGGAGGGCGTGACTAATAGCAACCTGAGCTACTGCATCGCGTGAGTCCCAGATCGCACAGGCCAGCGCAGCAGTAGAGAAAGCCTCACGGTCATCAGAGGAGGGGTCAGCAGGGAGGGGAGTAGGTGCAGGGGGACGGGGGAGCAAGCCATCAGCATGGACAACCAGAGAGTGGCCATCCTGGCGCTGACCTGTAAGCTGGCGGCGAAGATCGGAGAGCCAGGCGGCGAAGTCAACCGCGTGGCCCTCAGCGTCCAGGCGGAGCACAAAGTCAGCCATCGTGCAGGGTCAGCGGCACAGCTCCTCAGCGACACAGCGGCACAGCAGCACAGCTCCTCAGCGGCACAGGAGCACAGTGGCGCGGGGACACGGCGGCAGCACTCTCCAGTAGGGCAGCAGCTAGGCGTCCCAGCGCAGGCAAGCAGAAGACACAGGGCCCGAGAGGACACGGCAGGCCGAGCAGGGGAGGCGGGCAGGTGCTCTGGGGCCGGGCTGGTGCTGGGAGGGGCCAGGCTGGTGCTGCTGGGGCCGGTCGGGCACGAGGAGGGGCCGGGCAGCGCTGAGGAGAGGCCGGGCGGCGCTAGGAAGGGGCCGGGCGGCACTAGGAGGAGGCCGGGCGGCACTAGGAGGAGGCCGAGCGGCACTAGGAGGAGGCCAGGCGGGCGAGCGCTAACAGCAGGCGCGACAGGGGCCAGCGGGCGCGACGGGGCCTAAGGGGCGCGACGGGGCCCAGCGGGCACGACGGGGCCCAGGGGGGGCGCGACGGGGCCGAGGAGGCGCGACGGGGACCAGCGGGCACGACGGGGCCCAGGGGGGCCGCGACGGGGCCTAACGGGCGCGACGGGGCCCAGGGGGGGCGCGACGGGGCCTAGCAGGCGCGACGGGGCCTAGGAAGCGCGAAGGGGCCCAGCGGGCGCGACGGGGCCTAGGAGGGGCGCGACGGGGCCGAACGGGCGCGACGGGGCCCAGAAGGGGGGGGCGCGACGGGGCTTAGGAGGCGCGACGATGCCTAGGAGGCACGACGGGGCTCAGCGGGCTCGACGGGGCCCATGGGGGGCGCGACGGGGCCTAGGAGGCGCAACGGGGCCCAGCGGGGGCGCGTTAGGGCCTAGGGGTCGCGACGGGACCCAGCGGGCGCGACGGGGCCTAGGGGGAGCGCGACGGGGCCTAGGAGGCGCGACGGGGCCCAGCGGGCACGACGGGGCCCAGGGGGGCGCGACGGGGCCTAACGAGCGCGACGGGGCCCAGGGGGGGCGCGACGGGGCCTAGGGGGCGCGACGGGGCCTAGGAGGCGCGACGGGCGGAAGCGGTAGGCGGGGGGATCCTAACCTAAGCGTGATACCATGTTAACGTAGAAACGAATGATTACTAGAGGTGGAAACCTAGAACAAATACTAGTTGGTTGTACTCACTAGAAGCATACCTCAGTCTAGCCTATAACTTCTAGATAGATAATATGTATAAGTTGACACCTATCACTATCACTATCTAACATGCAGCTTACAACCAGAACAATGCTGCAGAAGGGAGTGGGTGTCTTCTGACAAAGAGGGTTATGTCAAAAGACTAGCTTAGCTAGGAAGCCATAGAATGGCACAAGGTTTAGCTAGGAGCTAGGAGGAGCCATGAGAATGGCGAGAGGTTTTAGGCGCTAGGAAAGTTGAGGAGAAGAAAAGAGGGGTTGGATTAGGAAGATAGAGGAGTACAAGGAGGGGTTTGTACTCTCTACAGAAAAGGTTCAGTAACAACCTACCAAGCCTATATAAATTATAACTTATATAATTTTAACAGGTTATGCCGTTTGCCTGCTGCGCCGCTGAGATGAAGGGGTGGTTCTGGATATGAGGTGACTTCAGTTGCCCGTCTCACCACGGGGGAAATGAGGAGGTGGTTCTGGATTTGCATCACAAATAATTCCAAGGGTTGTTCGATGTGCGTGAGGGAAGGAGGCGTCCCAACCAACTAACACACACGAGGTCAGGTGGCAAGCCACCTGACCTCAGGAGGACCTCAGGTGAAAGGAAGCTGAACTTTTCTGACCTCAGGTGGTTTCCCACCTTCTGCCGTGTAAGACAGCTAGGCACAGCCACCTGACGACCTCAGGACCTCGGGACCTCAGGTGAAAGGAAGCTAGACTGTTATGGCATCAGGTGCACCCTCAGCCATCCAGCCAGCTAGACACAGTCACCTGAAGCCGACCTCGGGTCCTCAGGTGAAAGGAAGCTAGGCTGTTATGGCATCAGGTGCACCCTCAGCCATCCAGCCAGCTAGACACAGTCACCTGAAGCCCGCAGGGCCTCAGGCAAAAGCAAGCCGGAACCCTTCTGACTTGAGGCAGGGCCCCGCCCTCAGCCATCCGAGAACCAGCCCGCAGTCACCCAAAGCCCTGTGATCCACTGGCCTTACAGAGGGGTCCACTGGTCTTTCAGAGCCACTCGGGGCTCACCCCCTGCCCCGTGCTTGCCCTCCTCCGCCCTCCCGGCCCCACACCTCCAGCGTGTGGGTCGTCCAGGGGGATACGGGGCGTTACCAGGCAAGCACACGGGCACAATCGCCCGGCCAGCGCCACACAGGGCGTGCCACGGTTGCCGCACGTGCACGCACCCATCTTAGCACTGACCGGTCGACGGAAACTTGCCCCAACTGACCCAGCCAGGGCGTTTCATCCCTTGCAAATCAGAGGCTGCTGCCAATGCGGCAGGCAGCCATGGGAGGAGGAGGAGGAGGAGGAGGAGGAGGAGGAGGAGGAGGAGGAGGAGGAGGAGGAGGAGGAGGAGGAGGAGGAGGAGGAGGAGGAGGAGGAGGAGGAGGAGGAGGAGGAGGAGGAGGAGGAGGAAGAGGAGGAGGAGGAGGAGGAGACGGAGGTGGCAGGAGGCAGCGGCCGGAGGCAGCGACCTGCACTGGAAGAAGAGAGAGAGGGAAACGCTAGAGGCGTCAATCAGTAAGCGGACCAAACCCGAGCGATGGAAAGAAGCGATGGACTGCGAGCAATGGTTGAGAGCAAGCGACGACAGAACATGGGAGCAATGTAGACAGATCAATGGTTGACAGATCAATGGTTGACAGATCAATGGTTGACAGATCAATGGTTGACAGATCAATGGTTGACAGGGACGCACCTTCTGCCCATTGGCTGGAGGTGTCTTTCCGCTGCTGCCTCCTGCTGCAGCCTCCTGCTGCTGCTGCACCTCCCTCGGGTGCTGCTCTGCTGCCACAACGACAGGGCGCCATGGGAGACGGCAGTGGTTCCCTCGAGTGCTGCTGCCAACAAACACGGCAGGCAGCGATGGAAGCCAGCATCTGCTCAAAGAGAGGAAGGGAAGAGGAAGTCCAAGGCGGTCAGCACCGTGACAGAAAGCAAATCGAATGACAAAAACACAACTGAGTGCTGCATCCCACCTTCTGGCCCGCACGTTGCGCCCTTCCGGTTCCAACCTTCCTCGCAGCAGCCCTCCCTGCAGCATCTCCTTACTGCGGCTCCCTTGAGTGCTACTAGCCACCAGAGTGGCTGGAAGACAGGTGGAGGGCGCGAGGGTAGAAGGCGGTGGAATCGAGTGCTGCCCTCCTTGCTGCGGCTCTCTCGAGTGCTGCCCTCCTTGCTGCATCTCCCTAACTGCAGCTCCCTCGAGTGCTGCTGTCCTGCATGCAGCAGCCCTCCCTGATGCAGACAACAGCCCTCATTGCAGGAGCTCCCCCGACCCAAGTGCTGCTGCCAATGTGGCAGGCAGTGATAGAAGCTGAAAGGCAGCACCTGCAAAGGGAGAGTACAGACAAAGACAGTCAGAAGGCAGGGTGACAGAATGCAAACCGAATCATAAAAACTCAACCGGGGCAGCATCCCACCTGCTGGCCATTGGGTGGGGCCATTGCTGTCTCCCGGCCCTCCTGGCAGCAGCCGTCCTTGCTGCTTCTCCCAAACTGCAGCTTCAACAGGGGCAGCAACCTCAACTGCAGCCCTCCTGGCAGCACACTCCGGCAGCACCCTCCTGGCAGCACCCTCCTGGCAGCACCCTCCTGGCACCATCCTCCTGGCAGCAGCAGCCGCCCTTGCTGCATCTCCCTCACAGCAGCTCCCCCGAGTCCTGCTGGTAGAAGTGGCGGTTCCCTCGAGTGCAGCCCTCCTGGCTGCATCTCCCTCACAGCAGCTCCCCCGAGTCCTGCTGGTAGAAGTGGCGGTTCCCTCGAGTGCAGCCCTCCTGGCTGCATCTCCCTCACAGCAGCTCCCCCGAGTCCTGCTGGTAGAAGGGGCGGCTCCCTCGAGTGCAGCCCTCCTGGCTGCATCTCCCTCACAGCATCTCCCCTGAGTGCTGCCGCCAACGTGGCAGGCAACGGTGGAAGGTTAAAGGCAGCACCTGCAAAGGGAGAGTACAGACAAGACAGTCAGCGAGGTGACAGAATGCAAATGGACCGTAATGAACTCAATGCAAACGCTAATAGAATCCCACCTGCTGGCCATTGGGTAGTGTTTTCCGCCCGTTGCTGGCTCCCGGCCCTCCTGGCAGCATCCCCCTAACTGCGGCTCCCCAGAATGCTGCCGCACGGCAGGCAGTGGTGGAAGGCGGAAGACAGCACCTGCACAGGGAGAGTAAGGACAAGACGATCAGTGAGGTGACAGAATGCAAATCGACTGAAAATAATTCAATGCAAGTGCAAATTGACTGAACCAGGGAAGAAACCCACCTGCTGGCCATTGTGTGGGGTTATCCGCCCGTTGAGGAAAAGGGGAGAAGAGGAGGACGATTCTTACCATTGCCCGCCTAGGCCACTCGCTTGCCAGGGACTCCCACCTCCTCCCACCTCCCTACCCTCGTCATTCCTGGCTGCTCCTCCTGCAGGTGCAACACACAGCTGAAGTAATGAGTGCAACGCAAACCCATGGAAGGCAGTTGAGCAGACAGGAGGGACAACCGTGAAACCGGGACGGATTGAAAGAGGGAGGGAGAGAGGGGGAGAGCGAGGTTACCATGCTGCGTTTCTGCAGCTCCCTGCGTTACTCACTGCTGCTGCGTACCTGCGAGAAGGGGAGGGGAGGGGAGGGAGGGGAGGGAAGGGGAGAGGAGGAGAGGAGAGGGGAGGGGGGGAGAGGAGAGGGGAGGAGGGGGGGTGACGCGACACACCTTCGACTTGCTTGTGCTCCATACCTGAAAATGGGAGCGGATGGGGGGAGGGGGGAGGGGGGAGAGGGGGGAAGGGGGGGGGAGTGGGGTGAGAGAGGAGGAGGGGGGAGGGGGAAGGAGCAGGTGAGGAATAGCAAATGACGAATAGCAAATAACGAATAGCAGATGACAAATAGCAGTTGACGAATAGCAAAATGAAGAATAGCAGATGACAAATAACAAATTACGAATAGCAGATGACGAATAGCAAATATCGAATAGCAGAAGACGAATAGCTAACAACGAATAGCAGATGACCAATAGCAAATGACGACTAGCAAATAACGAATAGCAGATGACGAATAGCAAATAACGAACAGCAAATGACGAATAGCAGATTACGAATAGCAGGTGTGGAATGGCAGGTGCAACGTCCTTACCTGGTATGCCAAGTGCTGCTGCCTCCTGTCCTTACCGTGTGCGCCGAGTGATGCCTCCTGTCCTTACCTTGTGCTCCGTCGTAGGGGGGGAAACCTCCGCTGGTACCTCCTCCTCATCCAGGGAAATGGCGAGGGCAAGGCTGGGGAGGCGCATAGTCGGATTCCGGAAGGGTATGCACTGAGAGGGAGGAGGCACATAGGGGGGGGAGCACGGGGATCGGGACGAGTGGCATCGAGAGGGGGGTCCCCACCCCACCCGCTGCACCCATCCTCCTCCACCGTCCCCTAGCACCTCTCCCTTCACCTTCCCCTCACCAGCCGCGCCCACCCCAGTGCGGGCTGGTGTGCGCCTAACCCCTCACAGCCAGCCGCACCCACCCCAGTGCGGGCCGGTGTGCGCCTGACCCCTCACACCACTGCACCCACCCCAGTGCGGGATAGTGTGCGCCAATCCCCGCACAGCCACCGCACCCACTCCAGTGCAGGCTGGTGTGCGCCAAACCGTCTTTCCCCTCTCCCCCCCCTAATGCTTGGAGTCCCGGTGCATCCCCGGTTGAAGATTCAGGAGGGCCGCCCGGTAGGAAAAGGAAAAGAGATATGTAAGCGCAAGCACACACGCGTGGCATACCATGGTTGGCCGGTTGTCGGGCGATGCTGGTCCCCTTGGACGGCCGGTGTTGGATCACCAGGAAGGCCGCCCGGTAGGAAAGAAAAAGACACATGCAGGCGCACATGCAGGCGCACATGCAGGCGCACATGCATGGCGTACCATGCTTGTAGGGAGATGCTGCTCCCCTTGACTCCTGGTGAAGGCGCAGCAAGCAGTGAAGGGCACTCGCACACCCTGGTGCGATCGTTGGACTCACCGGCAGCAGCAGTTACCCCTTGACTCCTCATGAAGTGAAGAGGGCGCAGCATTGCATGCAACGCACCTGCCCTTACCCATGCAGGTGCACTGGCACTCACCTGGTGCGATCGTTTGACTCACCGGCAGCAGCAGTTGGCTCAAGAGGCGGTTTCTCCTTGACTCCTCGTGAAGGGCGCAGCAGTGAAGAGCGAGCACGCAATGCACCTGCCCTTACCCATGCAGGTGCACTGGCACTCACCTGGTGCATATGTTGGACTCACCGGTACCCGACCGAAGTAGTCCTTGACTCCTCGCGAAATCGCAGCAAGCAGAGGAAGCAACACACCTGCACTGCACTTACCCACACAGGCGTAGTAGGAGCACCGGAACCATGGACTCACCTGCACTCGCCCGTTCCGTTACTGCTTGTGTTGCACTCTCACGCTCTCCCCCACCCTCACTCTCTCTCTCACCTTCTCCCTCAGGCCACTGCCTCCGATGAGTCTGTCTGTCTGTGTCCATCAGTCGGTCTCAGTCAGTCTGTCTGTCTGTCCGTCTGTCAGTCTGTAGTGAAGTGTGGTGGAGTGGAGGGGAGGATGGTGGAGAGGAGGGCGGAAGCGGTGGAATGGGGCTGGCGGGTGGTGGAGGGTGGTGGAGTGTGGTGCGGGGAAAGGGAGCTGCCGCGAGGGCAGGGGAGTGGTCAGCAGGGCACTGCCCAGGCCGTGCGTCATCCCACTCCCTCACGCTGCTGCTGCTGCTGCTGCTGCTGCTACTACAGCTGCTGGGTGTCACTGCTGCTGCTGCTGCTGGGTGCCAGGGCTACTGCTGCTGCTGCTGCTGCTGGTGTCACTGATGCTGCTGCTGCTGCCGATGCCCTCAAGGTTTCCCTGCAGAGGAGGGAGGAGGTGCAGATTCAAATAAGAGAGGATTAGTAACTGGAAAGTTGCTGGAGTGAGGACGAAACACAAGAGAAAAATGCAGCAGAATCAAAACGAGAACTACGGAGAAGCTGAAAAACGAAAAGCATGGAGAGGGGAGTGAGAAAGTGAGTGTGAACGGGTGAGAGAGAGTGAGGGTGCGTGGGAAGCGGAAACTTAGCCGGTTGCAAGTGAAGTGTTGACTTCCCTTTCACGCCATTGACTGCACCACCTCTGCCTCCCGCGCGTCTCCTCTCCTCTGCTCGTGAAGCTGCTCCTGCTGCCACAGAGCTGCCGCGAGGGAAGGTACCGCTGCTGCTGCTGCTGCCACGGAGCTGCAGCGAGGGCAGGGCCAGAAATCAGCAGAGCACTCCCCAGGCCGTGCGTCATCCCACCGTCCTCCTCACATGCTAAAGGCGCGTCTGGGGAGCGTCGGAGAGTTGGGGCGTTGCTGACAGCTGCTGCTGCTGCTGCCGATGCCCTCAATGTTTCCCTGCAGAGAAGGGATGAAGTGCAGTTTCAAACAAAAGAGGATCAGTAACACAAGAGAAAAATGCAGCAGAATCAAAACGAGAAAGGAATAGAAACGCGAAATATAGAAAAGCTGAAGGACGAAAAGCATGGAAAGGGGAGTGAGGGAGTGAGAGAGTGAGAGAGAGAGTGAGGGTGAGTGGAAGAGGACACTCAGCCAGGTTGCAAGTGAAGTGCTGACTTTCCTTTCACGCCGTTGACTGCACACCTTTGCCTCCAACGCGTCTCCTCTCCTCTGCTCGCGAAGCTGCTCCTCCTGCCACAGAGCTGCAGCGAGGGAAGGTGCCGCTGCCGCCGCCGCTGCTGCTGCTGCTGCAGAGCTGCAGCGAGGGCATGGAAGTAATCAGCAGAGCACTCCCCAGGCCGTGCGTCATCCCACCGTCCTCCTCTCATGCTGAAGGCGCGTCAGGGGAGCGCCGGCCGAGCGTCGGAGAGTTGGGGCGCTGCTGACAGTTGCTGCTGCTGGTGCTGGTGTCACTGATGCTTCTGCTGCTGCTGCTGCTGCTGCCGATGCCCTCACTGTTTCCCTGCAGAGGAAGGAAGAAGTGCAGATTCACATAAAAGAGGATTAGTAACTGAGAAGTTGCTGGAGCGCGGACAGAACGCAAGAGAAAAATGCGGCAGAATCAACACGAGAAAGGAATAGAAACGCGAATTATGGAGAAGCTGAAAAACGAAAAGCATGAAAGGGGAACGAGGGAGTGAGTGTGTGAAGGTGAATGCGAGAGTGAGGGTGAGTGGAAGAGGACACTCAGCCAGGTTGCAAGTGAAGTGCTGACTTTCCTTTCACACCGTTGACTGCACACCTTTGCCTCCCACGCGTCTCCTCTCCTCTGCTCGTGAAGCTGCTCCTGCTGCCACAGAGCTGCAGCGAGGGCAGGGCAGTAATCAGCAGAGCACTCCCCAGGCCGTGCGCATCCCACCGCCGTCCTTTCATGCTGAAGGCGCTGCTCCCACCACCCACGTTGCTCGCATTCAGGGAAGCGTCAGCTGAGCAGCGTCGGGTGAGCGTCGGATGAGCGTTGCTGCCAGTTGCTGTGCCGGGCTCCATCTTCTCCGGCAGGCTGGGATCTCCTCAAGGGAACTTAATATCCTCAGCTCCATCTCCTCTGGTAGGCTGGCACTTGCTGCTGGCTGGTAGGCTGCTGCTGCTGCCCTCAAGGTTTCTCTGCAGAGGAACGGAAGAGGTGCAAGTTCAAAGGAGACATTAGTTGCTTGCTGGAGTGCGGACTAAAAAGAAAGGGTAATTTGCTGACAGATCAGCAACTTTGAGCGGCTGATCTGTACAGCAAATTACGGAGAACTGATCTACACCGTACAGATCAGCCGCTCAAAGTTGCTGATCTGTCAGCAAATTACCCAAAAAGAAAAGCGCAGCAGAATGAAAGCGTGAAAGGAAAAGCAAAGGAACGGAAATCGAGGACAAAAAGCACGAAACGTCACAAAAATGTGGATCTCACCTATATTGTAGGTATAGTTGTTCGTATATCAAGGCTACTCCGTAGCAGACGTACCTATGCCGTATCTAGAGTATAGCTACTCCGTATTTCTGGTCCTGGTATTTTGGGACGAAGAGAGTGAACAAAGGAGTAAGGAAGAAGGGGGAGGACGAGGAAGGGGGAGGAAGGAGGAGGAAGGAGGAGGAAGGAGGAGGCTCTACCAGTCGCGCCTACGCCCACAAGTCACAGACCCAGGGGCTCTGTTAAGGGTTAAAAACACTTTCATTAGGCTTAGCTGGGGGGGGGAGGGGGCGATTAGGAAGTGGCTGGCGCTGACTCGTTGGGGGGGGGGGGGGGGGCGATTAGGAAGTGGCTGGCGCTTACTCGTTTCCCACGTCCCTTGACCCGCGTGCCAGCTGCATGTCGCACGGGTCGTCTCCCACAGACTAGAGCGCGAGGCGGAGGCGAGGGGAAGCAGAGGCGAGGCGGAGGCGAGGGGGAGAAGAGGCGAGGTGGAGGCGAGGCGGAGTAGAGGCGAGGCGGAGGCGAGGGGAAGGTGACGCGGCTCTCTGGTTGGCTGCAAACGCAGCAGCAATCTCGTCACGTCGCAGCAGCAGCAGCAGCGATCTCGTCACGTCGCATTCACGAAAGACGGTCCCTGCAATCAGTCGAAAGACGGCAGTCAGTAGACGAAACGGGAAAATGAAAACGGAAAACGAAATCGCATCCGAGTATGACAACGAACATGACGAGCTGCTTACTATAATCGATGCGAGTGAGGCGAGTCAGAATCGATGCGGCGACGATTGACGGCCGATCTGCCTTGACCCGCGTGCCAGCTGCATGTCCCACGGGTCGTCTCTCATGGTCCATCTCTCCGATCGCCTCCCGGGGGTCGTCTCCCAGGGACGGGAGGCGAGGCGGAGGCGAGGGGGAGGCGAGGGGGAGGTGACGTAAACGCAGCAGCAATCTCGTTACGTTGCAGCAGCACCGCACGCCGCACGTCGCAGCAGCGTCGCCGCACGTCGCAGCAGCACCGCACTTCGCAGCAGCACCGCCGCACGTCGCAGCAGCACCGCACGCCGCAGCAGCAGCGCCGCACGTCGCAGCAGCATCGCCGCACGTCGCAGCAGCAGCGCCGCACGTCGCAGCAGCACCGCCGCACGTCGCAGCAGCACCGCACGTCGCAGCAGCACCGCACGTCGCAGCAGCATCGCCGCACGTCGTAGCAGCACCGCCGCACGTCGCAGCAGCACCGCACGTTCGCAGCAGCATCGCCGCACGTCGCAGCAGCACCGCCGCACGCCGCAGCAGCACCGCACGTCGCAGCAGCACCGCACGTCGCAGCAGCATCGCCGCACGTCGCAGCAGCACCGCCGCACGTCGCAGCAGCAGCGGTCTCGTCACTTCGCGTTCGCGAAAGACGGCAGACGGTCCCTGCAATCAGTCGAAAGACGGCAGTCAGTAGACGAAACGGAGAAAATCAAAGCGACGATGATCCGAAAATGGAAACGGAAAACGAAAGTGCATCGGAGTATGACGATCTCGGCTGCTTACTATAATCGATGCGACGCGAGTCAGAATCGATGCGGCGACGATTGTCGACCGATTGACGGCCGATTTGCACTCCTGGTGGCGAGGCGGCAATGAAGTAAGTCGATCGTAGACGCTCATAACTGCCGATCTCCGCGCGGCAAGTCGGCGTGTCTTACTAACCGCACGGCAAGTCGAGGCGAGGCCGCGGAATCGGATCCGCGCAGTGAGTCGAGTCAGATCAGAGTGGCATCGGCGCTCGTGGTGGGGAGTCGAGGCGAGAGCCGCACGATCCGAGAGTACCATGATCCGAGAGTCGCATGATCCGAGAGTCGCATGAGCCGAGAGTCGCATGAGCCGAGAGTCGCATGAGCTGAGAGTCGCATGCGCCGAGAGTCGCATGATCAGATGATCCCATGATCCCATGATCCCATGATCCCATGATCCCATGATCCCATGATCCCAAGATCCCAAGATCCCATGATCCCATGATCCCATGATCCCATGATCCGACGATATGCCTCGCATGAAACGTTGAACGTAGAGCTCGCAATAGCCCATCCTGTCAGGAGAGCCGATCCTGTCAGGACAGAAATTCAAACGCACAACTTGTTTCGCGTCAGAGCAACGTGAGATAGATGATCCGCCATCATACGATTTCAGCGAGCGAGCTAGTAGAGACTGGAAAAATACTGGAAAGGGTGACGAGGACGAAGTCAGCCGTGAAGATTCAGGGAATGGAGCTTACGTGAACGGAGCTTGCAGCGACTCTTCCACCGACGGCCGTCGTCAGTGTTTGGTCGTCAGTGAAGATTCGGCGTCGCAAGACGGTCTCCTGCTTAGCCGGACAACGTCGCGAGCGAGCACGTCGCCTGCTTAAACGGAGCTGCGGTAAGACTCGTCGGACGAAGGACGAAACCGGAAGACGCTTCGTTGAGACGGCCGTTAAGCACTAAGACTCGAGCCGCCGCGTAGACAGGAACAGCCGGCTACAGTACGCTGTCACCGAATCATTCCGAACCATTCCGAACCATTCCGAAGCATAAGCATTCAGGGAAACGGAGCTGTCGCACACTTCTTAGGAAGAATCCAGCGTGATATGAATCGACCCTGATCCTGCTGATGAGAATCGAATTCCGATGCTGCTGATAAGAATCGAAGACCCTGACAAATGGTGATAAGCATGGAGAAGGCTGATGCATGCCGATGAAGTCTTGACTACGCTGATGAGTAAGTTCTGATAAGAACCTACGGCGCTGTAGCGAGGTGAGAGATCCTGATTCAGGATCGGAAGATTTTTACGAATCTAGGAGCTTAGGAGCTTTCCGCGAGACTCTAACGCGTCTATTACGCCTAGGGTAATAAAGGCTTGTCCGCGACAAAATACCGTGAGAAGGAACCCGTAGTAAGAACCACGGAAGCCAAATCCGAGTTATCTCGCGGTAAGGAAACGCCATGAAATTACTGCCTGGAGAAACGCTTGACAGAAACTCCTGGATGAGGATTACTACGCGAACAGGACTCGAGATACTCCCAGGGAACTGAGGTTAGCCAGGGAAAGCTAGGGAAGGGAGTGATGAAAGGGAAGCAGCAGCGGCGGCAAATTTTCATGCCATGCAATGGGGAGCGACGACAGGGAAGGGGCAAAGCCCGAGGCGAGTTTGTGCTGTAAGCCGAGGGCGGGAAATTCTCCCATCCCGTCCCTGAAAGCCCACGGCGGAAGCCGCTGCAGCCGAATTGTGGGGGTTGCCCTGACGGGTGGGGAGCTGCGGTAAGGCCGCCGACAAGTTCCGGTGAAAGGCGGGGAGCTGCGGAAAGTTTCTGGGGCCGTGGCGCGTGCCGAGGAGTTGGCGAAGGGTGTTCGCCAGCGGAAGATCAGTTTGCGAACCTCTACTGTAGCTTCTGCGAATTCTGTTACACGACTCGGGCAGCCTCGCTACTAGCCCTAGCGTCGGAACTCTCGCAGCGCAAAACCTGTACCCTGCACTTTGCGGGAAGCCGCCCCCTTGACGATGTGCTCTCCCGCAGCGATCGACCTGCGCGCATTTTGGGATGCCCGCGCGGGAGCTGTTCTTGGAAATGCTTTTCTGACGGCTGAAAATGGTTATGTGGGGTTTTCCCAATGAGCACATTCATGCATATTCAGTACGCGTACATTGGCTTTACAAGGTGTAAGATCCGCCCAATATCAATCTCTAGAGTTCTATGGTGTGACAATTTTTTGTACGTGTTCTCTATAATATGCATGAAACAAGAGCCAAACTACACTCTTGAATATTAGGTACTACCTTCCCTTGGCCTAGGCATTTTTTCCCTCCTACAAGTGTACCTCTCAAATATATTTGATGCAAATGCTATTTGTGGCACATAGTAACCGCCACTCTACTGCACATCACACACTACTACCCTATGCGCACAAGTGTGCCTTTTCTCCCCATCCCACCCTAAGTCCCCCGGACCGCTCCCACTCCATTCTCTCACCACCACCCCCAGTCACGACTGACTATCACCATCTGCACCACCATGCGCATCAGCATTGCCATTACCCAATGACCTTGGCTAAAAGTAGCGGCGGAAAGAAGCAAGGGTGGATGCAGGGGTGGAAAGCAGGGGTCAGCAAGTACTGTCCACAGAGCTGCCAGTGATGCGATGGCTGGTGATAGTAGTGACCGTGCCCATATGGAGGGTGTCCAGTCCAGGGGTCAAACCAGTGTTGAAAGTGCAAGTGGCGCTGACCCCACCCTTCCATGGCGCTGCTTCTCTTGCTGCTGCTGCTGCTGCCGCTGCTCTTGCTGCCATGGAAGCAGCAGCCACACGTCCCGCTTCTGCTTCAAGTGGAGCTAAGAATGACTTGAAAGAATCACTCAAAGTCATACTTAGTGGTTGAGCAGAAGCGCCTGCTGCTGTTGCTGCTGCTGCTGCTGTCAACACTCCTGGTGCTGGTTGCCGTGGTGGTGCTGCTGCTGCTGTTGCTGCTCCTGCTACTTCTGCAGCCGGTGATGGTGACGGCGTTTGCTGGTAGTTGTTGAAACGACGGATCCAAGGGCTTTGGAAGGGAAGCTGGGTAGGGAAGAGAGGAGGTGGAGGAGAAGGAGCAGACGGTGGAGGAACCACCACAGCAGACGCCGGCGCCAAAGTCGATGGAGTTACGGGAGACACAATAGAATACACTACAGGAGACATGACAGGAGACACTACAGGATACGCTACAGGAGACACAGGGGCCAATGCAGGGCTCAGCTCAGTCGGAGAAGAGGCAGCAGGTGTGGCGGCAGCAGCAGGAGCGGTCAGTGCAGCACCCTCAGTAAGAGCGGACGCAAGCATTAATTGAGAAGACACGGGCACCACCCTCTGCTCCACCACCTCCTCCTCCTCCTCCTCCATCTCCTCTCCTCTCCCACACCCGCTGCTACAGCTGCCGGCTGTGCTCACTAACCCGCTGTCCTCTCCGTCTCCTCGTCCCCCCCCCCTAAACATAATATCGCTCTTAAAGCCCCAGCTGCCGCTGCTCCTGCCTGCAGTTGCATCATCTGACACGCCATCCGCGCTACCGTCAGCCTCGCTACTGCCAGTAGCGCTGCTACAGGTGCTGCCGGACGCGCTGCTGCTACAGCCGGCGTTCATTGTCACATCCGCGGAGTAATTGCCGCAACTGGCGGTGATATCTGTAGCGGCAGGTGTAGCGGCTGCAGTGCCTGTAGCGGCAGGTGTTGCAGCTGTAGCGGCAGCGTCAGCTGTAGCAACCTGCCAGCTATGAGCTCCCTGTTCGCCGTGCCGTTGTCTCTTGCTTCCCAACGGCGTGTCTCCGCCACCCGACCCCCAGGGCGCCCTTAACGCGCCGTTACAACCTCCGCGCAGCAGGGCGTGAGCCGCGCAAGCCAGATCTCTTCCTGGGCGCGTGTTTCCAGTTGACTCAGCCGCAGCAGCACCAGCAGTCGCAGAAGTTTTAGCAGCATCGGGAGTCTGCGACGCCGATTGACGATGACGGAGAAGCCCGCCGCCGCCGCCGCCGCCGCGTTGACTCGTCTGGGATACTTGAGCCGTCTCGAAAGCCGTAGCTACAGCCGTGCGGCTGCTGCCGCCACCGCTGCTTCCCCCTCCTCCGCACGGTTTCTGTGCAACGTGACATCCTCCGCCACCGCCGCCACCGCCGCCACCGCTGATTCCGGCGTCCCCCACGCCGCAAATATCGGCGTGGCAGTACTGCCTGGAGTACATTCGGCGCACGAAATCCGCTTCGATAAGGTCCAGAAAGTTCTTGTGAGCTTCCTCCGTCCAGCAGGTCGTCCAGACGAAGTGCCCCGGGCCTCTTACATCCGCGCTGCCGCCCGCGCCCGCGCCGGCCGCGTCTCCTTCCGCCGCGCCGGCTTGCGGCTTCTTGACATCGAGCCGCCGCTTCCCCGACGGCCTGTCCAGCGCGGCGCTGCGGCGCCCCCCCTCCGCCGCCTCCGCCAGCGGAGGCGGCTCGTCCGAAGAGACTCCAACTCGGAGTGCGCCCTGACCGCGATCCTGCGCCATCTGCGCCATCATTATGCTGCCCGCCGGTTTCACTTGCCGCGGGTACAAACCACGTATAAAAACCAGCCCAGATTCTCGCGCTGGATTTATGAAGTTGGGTTTAACTCACTAAACGATGCGTGCTACTCGCTGCGTGATTACTAGCTCCGATACAGGAAAAGCAGAAGACGGAAGACGGGCTTTGTCCGTTCTCTGAGGCAGGCGCTGAGACGACGCTACTCCGTTCGTGTATCCTGGCAATCTGAATAGCTTCGAAACAAAGGCCTTTGAATAGCTTCGAATCACGATCCGCGGAAGAATTGATGGAGAGGGATGCCTGAGTAAGATAAGTAGTCCTCCTGGGGCCTACGCTCCTTCGCACTTCTGCCAACTATCAACGGTGCGGTGCGGTGAAATTTGAACTTGAAACCAACTCCACAAGTTTCTAGCTCTTGCTGCTGCTAATGCGCAGCGCGGAATGACCTCTGCTCTGCTCCAGATTCTGGAAACACCATCGCTGCAAGATATTTTCGCTTCCCTTTTTTGTGTTCGCCGCGCTGGAGTGAGCAGACCGTGTCCACGGTGGCATTCGCTCCGACCAATTGCTGCTGGCACGTCGAAGCCTCAAAGCCCGTGACCCAGTACTGTACTGTAAGTGCCCCCTTGCAACCGCAAATGGCTGCCCGCGAGTCTCATGATTTGTGCTGGGCGAAGGCCAGGAAAGGCAGCGGCGGAGGAAGGGGAAAGCGATTGGAGGGGCAGGGGCAGATGGGAAACGCGGCAAAATCGGGGCTGCTGTGGTGGCAGCAGCAAGGAAAGCGTCCTGTCAAATCCATGCTGGTTGTGTGAGTGAGAAGGTGAGGTTTGGGAGGGGAAAGGTGAGAGGGGGCAATGGGGTGGGGAAAGGTGAGATGCGGTGCGGTTGCGCGGAGGGGTGTGTGAAATACGCGACGCGGAAGCTGGGTAGGGAATGGAGTGCATGCGACAAGGCTTCACGTGGACGAACTTCGACATGAGTGGAGTGGGAGTGGGGGGAGAAATATCTGAGAGTCCACGCTGGCAGGACTGACAGTGCAGCTTTGGAGAACGGACGGAAGTAAAAACGGTGAAAAATGGTTGAAGAGGATGGATATCACTCAGCTGGACATTGCAGGCGCAGCTGAAACGCTGCTGATTGGTTACAGTAGTCCCTCCCACACCACACTGCTGCGGTGCTTCTGTACACCCTAAATATCTGGAGGGGATTGTTGATGGCGTTGTCTCTGCCAGAAGCGTTAAATGGTTTGGCTGGCAGCACAGATGTGAAGCAGCAGAGAGACAGGTCCGAGGCATCAAGGCAAGGTTGTCGCTTATTTGACATGAGGGAAACCCAAATATATTTCTGCCCATGAATACAAATGTTCCAAACTACACCTAACATGGTGACTTTGCTGCGATTAACCATTCGGTGCTATAAGGAACATGAAAGGATTTATGATGACCGATCAAGGCCACGGGCAATATTGCTGCATTTCTGAATCTGCCGAGGCACTGTGGAATCGAAGGTTCCACGAGGCATGATTTCTTCCAGAGGAAGGTCATGCTTCACGTGCCGAATACACTCATTGGGTCCACGTCAAAATCACTTTCTTACACCGTGGCAAAGAACCAAAAAGAGAATATCTAGATTGGCTTCTGATAAAAAGGACCCCACTTTCTTCATCAACCACCCCAGGACGCCTTGTCGATATTTTCTTAATCCAATCAGAGAGAATTCATGCACTCATACGATTGGATGAAGGAAATATCAAGCCGAGCTAGATATTTATTTGACAGCCACAAGCGCGGGTTCCTTTTTGCCACTTGGACGAAATCCACTCCACAGCTTGCACCCGAAAATTTGCGCGACGAGCTGGTTTGCCAGAACCTCGTACAAACATGTTGCTGTTTCAGTGATGAATGTGAGAAGCTACATGTTATTCTAAGTTGACCTATCACAAAGCATATAGCTCCTCTCGATGGTGTGCTCAGGTTCTGAACAAACAATTCTCACCGCAATGAATGTTACGGTGTTTCTTACAGCCACGGTTGCTTGATTAGCCAACCAAGTTTGACAGAAAACGAATGAGACTTTTTTCCACCTTGGACCAGCCCTAGGGGGGTGTATACAAAACCTGATGTAAAGTGATGTGACATCAGGATACCGACGCGTTTCGATTACAAATCTTTTTAAAGCGTAGAGACTCCAGCTGAACCTCGTTGTGTAAAAAAAAACCGACGTCCCACAATTCAATGTATGCACGCCCTAAGGGCGTTTCCCAATATTACGTCCCTTATACAAATTGTACAAGTCCAATAAGGTGCCCTGGAGCGATCCAATATGGTCCGTAGGATGTTCGGGATAGAAATGCAGTAGTGCGCTTTCCGAAAGCGGTTGATTGGTCGAGTATGTTAAAATTATATAAGGTATAATTTAATATAGGCTTGGTAGGTTGTTACTGAACCTTTCTGTAGAGGGTACAAACCCCTTCTTGTACTCCTCTCTCTTCCTAATCAATCTCCTTTTCTTCTCGACATTCTCTCCCTTCCTAGATTCGTTTTCCTCACGCCATTCCATGGCGGCCTTCTTCCTAGTATCCTAGCCAACCTAGCCTTCTAAGTTTAAGAACCTAGAGTCCTAAGTTTCTAAGAGAGTAACCCTGTTAGAGTGAATGTAACATAACATTGTTGGTTATAGCAAGAGGATACATGGTTAATATAGTGATACAAGAAAATACGAAGGGTCTACTTTAGATGCACTTAACAAGGGTACATTCCTTATGAGGTTTCCAGATCCGACTCGGGTAACTGCACACGACTCGGGTAAATGCCTGCGCTGTATTACAGGGCCAGTTACGTGTCCTTGTTGTCGTGACGCACCCTTGAACTTCTGTCGGCTCGACTGTCGGTCAACGGTCAATGACCGTTGCACTTCGTACCTTGCGTCATAGGCTTGGACTCGACAAGAGTTACGGCTCGAGTGCCATTTTCAGGAATGTAACAATTTTCTTATCGTAACACCCCCCTTCACTGCTGAAGGTGTTTGAGTTTGGCGCGCTTGGAGATTCCACAGAGCTCGACGCAGTGCAGGTACTATTGATGTGGCAGCTTTTTGGTGAGGAAGTCAGCTGCCATTTCACCAGTGGGACAATATGTCAGGTCCACTTTCCGTTAATCGATTTCGTCATTGACGAATAAGTGTCGCAAAGCGATGTGTTTTGTGGGGTTGCCGAAGCCGGACTTGTTAGCGATCTTGATTGCACTTTGGTTGTGGTAGTGTAATTTGAATATTGGCGAAGTACTGAGTTTCGCCTCCTGCAGCAGTTCCTGTAGGTAAATACCATCGCGAACAGCTGTGGTTGCTGCGATGTACTATGCTTTAGCCGAGGAGAGGGCAATCAGCTCCTGTTTCTGTAAGTTCTAGGAGATAGGTTCAGTAGGTTCCAAACGAAAGAGGAACACTGTGCGCGAGCGACGGCTAGCGGGGTCTGCGGCGTGGTCTGCATCGATGTAGCCTGTGAGTTGGAATGTGGGTGTGGTGATGGTGGAGTAGGTAAGGCTGATGTGGAGAGTTGAAAAGAAATAAAGGAGAGCTTGTTGTAGATCTAGGAGATTCTCCCCTTCAGGTCGCCAAGAATACTGGGCGAGCTGGCTTGCGATGTAGGATAGGTGGGGCCTGCACGTGACGGTGACAAACAACAGACATCCGAGCTGCTGCGAGTAGAGTTGATGGGCGGCAGGAGCGAGACTTTTGGTGTCGGGCTTGTAGACGGTTGCGGGAGTGTGGTAGGGTGTGGAGAGCGGCGCCGGCATTAGGTTGAATTTCTTCACGAGAGTCTCGGTATACTTCGATGCGGAAAGATGAATGGCCTCTGGTGAGTAGGAGATGTTGAGCCCGAAAAACTAGGTCACGGTCTTGGAGGTAGTGATGTCGACGTGCTGGCCTAGGTTGCGCTCGAAATGATCAAGCATGACCGGGTTGGTGCCAGTGTAGAGCAGGTTGTCGACGAAGACCGTGAGGATGATGTAATATCTGCGGAAGTGGAGACGGTACATCCTGGGGTCGTGAGGTAGCTGGAGGAACTGTATCTCCAGCAGGATTCCGTGAAGATGCTGCTGCCAGAGACAAGGTGCCTGCTTAATCCCGTAGAGGGACTTTTGCAGCTGGCAGACGCGTTGGTCCCTGTCGCTGTAGGTGTGAGCTTGCTCTACGAAGATTAGAGCGTCAACCTTTGCGTATAGGAAAACATTTTTTACGTCGATCTGTCGGAGCTCGAGGTGTTGGCATGTTGCGATGACAAGCAGAATGCGCACGCAGGTGTGACGGCTGACGGACTCAAAGGTGAGGTTGAAGTCGATGCTGTGGCGTTGATCGTAACCTAGTACGGCCCATCGAGCCTTGCATCACTCGACGTTCCCTTAGGCATATGTTTTGACGCGGTAGACCCACTTCCCAGATAGTATCTTCCTTCCTTTTACTGCTGCGCGGTCGACGAGGACCCAGGGGTTGCGAGAGCCAATGTAGCAATTTCTGCATCCATTGCCTTGTGCCATTCGGCAAGATGAGGTCCGGTGAGAGCTTGTCATGGTGTTTTGGGTTCGATCACGGAGGGACTCTTGTGAACTGCTGCATGAATCCCGAGAATGTGAAGGCCGGAGAATCTGATGTTGCGAGCTATTTGTCAATGACGTCTTGCACGTCGTCATCAGAGTCGGCGGCGGGCTGTGGGTGCGAAGAGGTTTCAGTGGTTCCTTCAAGCAGTAGAGTGTCGCGAGAGGGTTCGAGTGGGGTGTTGTCCGCGTCGCCGTCGTCGTCGAATCAGGGGTTCTCCCCATGGTGTTCATCAGGTGGGTCTAGATCCAGGTGGGCACCAGCATCTTTATATTCTGGAGAGGCGAAGCTGTGTTCGCCATGCGCTTATGCTGCTTGGTGATTGGCACGATGGTCGTCCTGGAACTGCTTCAGGGTGAGTCGTTCGCAGAAGAGGACGTCCTTAGAGGGCACAATGGTGGAATTCTCCAGGTCCAGGATTGTCTATGCTTGGTACTCATAAGAGATGCCCAGATGCATCCCCCACCGAGCTCGCCTTTCGAACTTGCCGGTGGTGGCCTAGTGAGGGCGGTATTGGACCATGCAGCCCGAGACCCGCAACATGCTGGCGTCAGCTGGTCTTCCTGTCCAGGCCATGTAGGAGGAGAGGTTTCTGTTGTTGGTGGTGGTGGTGGAAAGTGTGTTGTGCAGTCGGACTGTGTGGTGCATGACGAAGGGCCAGTAGTCGGTGGGAAGTCCGGACTGCAGCATCATAGCCTTGTTGTGGGTGAGCATAGGGAAGGGAGAGCCTGTGCTCAATCCCAAGTTCTTGGAGGTGGGTCTGTAGCTCCTCACTTCGGAATTCCCCAGCTCCATCCGTCTGCCAGTACTTCAGCTTCTTTCCAGATTAGCGTTCAG